GAGAAGCAAGGCAGGGAGCAGCAGGCATGTTTATAGACTGCGTCTTTCTGCTCACTCCACATTAAAAAAAATAGAAATCCAAAACCAAAATCTTGATTATCCCAGAGCTCTACAGCTACCTAGAGACCTGGAAATTACAGTGACACACGCAGAAAAGGAGGATCTGAGGTGTCTGGGAGGGAAGACTAATGTTCTAACAACATGACTACTGTTCTACCAATAGAAGTCACTAAGGATGACTGTCATTTCTCACATTCCTGTACTATCAGAAAGAAATCTCCAATTTTTACCCTAATTTCCAATTTACTGTTTATTTGGAAGAGAGGGTGTCAAGAATACTCACAGCCTTCTGTGTCTTCTGGATTTCAGAGCTCACCTCAGAAATGAGGATGCTGCAAGAGGAACAAGGTACCCAGGACGCCAGGGAAGCCTTTCTGAAGGCTTGTTCCTGGCTCAGCCCAAGTCACAGGCTTGATGCCACAATCCCTACATGAAAGGGTTATGCAAAGGGTCAGAATAGGTGACGATAAAGTTCCCTTCCAGCCAAAACAATCTATGAACCTCCAAGGAAATCCACCATCCTCTGGCAGGAGGCAGGCCGAGGCTTTCTGAAGCGCAACAATGTCTGGCTCCGGAATCGCAGGGGCAGAGCCTCGACGAGCCATGAAATCATCCCTTCTGCTTGGGAGGTTCCACAGGCGACGCTGGCAGCTGCAGACCACACGTCTGGAGCACAGGGAACAAAACCCGAGCGGATACACTCAGAGCGCCTTTAAAGCTAATGTGACTCCACTAACGAGGAAACCCAGAGCTCAACGTGGCTTTTTCAAAGCAGAAAGGCGAATTCGCCGGTCTCCCGTGCTGGAAAGCCCTTGTGCGAGCCAGCCTGCTCAGCAGGCCCAAGGTGGGGAGAGCAGGAGCTGCTGCAAGCCAGGACCGAGGCACCTGAGCGGGGCTGTGTGGGAGGCCCAGCCGGGAGCAGCGGGAACGCAGCAGCTTCAGAGGGAGCCGGAGCCCACAGGGATTAATGCAGGACGCTCCGGGCATCCACCCGGCTCCGGCCAAGGCCATTAACTTGTTGCTCTCTGAACATCCCCGAAGGGATGGAGCCTTCAAAGCCGTAACAAATAAATTACTAGCCTTCATTTTTTTTTTTTCCCATTCAGGAGTTTAAACTTAAAAGGGGAGTCCATCAACTTTAAATAAATCATGTTTATAATTAAAAATATATTTTCCTGTGTTGCTTACAAAACTTCAGATGATTAATAAGGCACTTTTCAAATCACTGTAATTCTCACTAATTACGGTGCTTGTTTACCCCAGCCAATAATTTTTCATCCAGGAAGATGGAGATATCCCAGAAGGAGAGCTCCCTCCAGAGACCAAGCAGGAAAGGACCCCAAGGAACCGCCTCAGGTCCCAGGAGCACATGGGAGGTCTTGCACTGAGAGCACCAGGGCTGGTCCCATGAATCCTGTCGCACTAAACGCTCCCAGGACTTCTTTGCTAAGCCTGACTTTTGCCTGGGTAAGACGAGGAGAATGAGGTTGTTCAGCTCCCGGGACCTCACGCTGTGGTTTGCCTGGACTTTGCTGGAGTTACCAACCCCACCAAAGGGCCAGACGTTGTAGGTCTGGCATGAAAACACAACTGCAGCTGCAGAGCCTCGGGTGCGAGACCACCAAAAGCCAAACGGGACAGAATGAAAGGGCCTTCAGACCCTCCTCCACTTCTCCTCCTGCTTCCCCTGTCTTCGAGGCCAGGTGCTGCTGGTGAGCAGCAAGGTATGATTTCTGAGTCGTCTTTACAGAAAAGGAAAAGAATATAGAAGCAGAAAAGGCCACAAAATAGCCGTGAAGAAACTCTGTACTACGTTTCTGCCTTCCAAGACAACTGCTTCAGGCGCCATCTCCTCCCTTGTCATTTGCAGACAGCTCAGAAGTCTCTTAACTCTTCAGAATAAGGCTGGGAGCACAATAATAAATAAAATCAAGGCTTCTCTTCCCAGCTGTTGGATTACTCTGGCCCCTTCCAGTGCTCTACAGACCAAGACACTCCACTCAGCAAAGACTCTGGCTGACTCTCCCAATGTAGCAATGACATTTCCTCATCTCTTGATCCTTTCTCCCCCATTTAAAGCCAGCAGTTCTTTCATCACCTACGTGTCCTTCAAGCTGACAGTTATTCTTAGGCAACTGTAGGCCAAAAATGCAGTTGTCCAGCTAACAAGTGATACACACTCTGTGCAGCAGGAACTGTTCTCAAGCCAGCAGCGTTTCACACCACAGGTCTTGCTGCCTCCCAAGCTAAAACAAGGTAAGAGGCATCAGGCAAGAGCCAGAATAATGGAAGATAAACTACAGTTACTTAATAGTGTAACAAGTTCTTCAGATCAGGGGTCCAGAAGCACATCAGTTACTCAAGACTGATTTACATTAGCCCAACCAGCCTTGGAAAGTGCTGCCACAAAATTTATTCTAATACCTGCTGCAACACACCTTAAAAATAACAAAAGCAAGCAGAGATAAAAGATATTTGCTGCCAAAGGTAGGGGAATACCTCCAGAAAGCCACACTGCTGGCTTCCTCTAAAAATTAAACATAAGTGGTAGACATTCTTCGGATTTCTTACTAAAGACAGCTGGATCCTCCCTTATGTGTAAAGCACCCAAACTGTCTGCCAGCTCCTTAGAGGAACATCCCTGTGGACGGGAATGGCAAGGCAGCAGGATCTGCTTTCTCTGCAGGTCACCTACCCACCCTGAGGCATCCACCATGGGGCTGGCACAGAGAAGCTCCCTTGCTCTCTGTTCATGCCCTTGCACGGTGTGTTTGAACATCTGCACGTGCACAAGCCTGAGTGACTAGAAGAGAGCTGGATGAAACAAGCTGGCTAAGGGATTCATACTAGGCCCGGTGACCAGCTGCAGAGAAGAGCAGATACCCAAGGGGCACGCTTTGGGCTCCCGAGGTAGGAGTACACAACACAAGGCGTCCTTCTGTTTCATGGGGAAATCCAGAGGAAGAGCCTCTTGTTACTCAACTTGCTCAGCTGCTGTAAAACAGTAGATGACCATTTCTTTATTAAAATCATGAATTATTTAAAAAAAAAAACAAAAACATGGTGAGACATTAAGCACTGCTTGGTCTCCTCTTAGGGCATTCCTCCTCGGCACAGCGCACTTGCCATGACAGAAGGCATTGCCAAAGGCACCAGGTCCTGCGTGCCCTGGCCTTCCTCTCGCCACATCCCACCAGGAGGGGAAACTGCCCACGGGTGCAGAGCAGCTCCCAGCTAGGACCCACGCTGCTGCTCCTCAGGGCTGAGGGGCCGAGGCCTGCGGTACTTGCACTGGATCCACACGCGATACATCGTCATTTGCTTCCCACGGTTCACCTGCAGCCGCCGATCAACCAAATTCTGGATCTTCTCCAGCCCAGCTGTTCTGAAGAGATCATCTAATTCATCTAGAAGCAGAGAGCAGGAAATTAAAGATGCTATAGCGTCATTTCACTGAAACCCGCTCATACTGGGGGCTAAACTGAACCGGGAGACTGGTGAGAGGAAACTCCTGGTCTCAGTTTGAGGGAAATGCAAAGATCACACAGGACTTTACTGTCATATTATGGGTGGATTAAGATCACAGCTTGTCTGGTTTCTCTTGAGTTTACCTTCTGCTAATGAAAGAAAGAAGTATTTGGAGGACAACTGGAGTTACAGAGACTGGACAAAGGGAAAACAACAGCAGTTCCAGACATGGCTATTGCCTCCAGTAACCAATTAAGGGGGCATATTCTGGCAAGTAGGAACAGATCCCTTTCTTCCCTGTGTTTCCAGAGGGATTTCAGAATCTGTAATAGCAAAGAACAGCATCATACCTATGCTTTTAAAACACCGTCAATAAGATCTGTGCTACAGAGGCTAGAGGGGAACTGGATTCATTAAAGTTTCGTTGGAAAAAAGTCCTTAAAAAAAAACACACCCAGCTGGGGCCCAATCAAAGCACTAAGAGCCCTCCGGGCTGCAACACTTTTACTGCCAGGTGCTCCTGACCAAGCAAATAAGTATCATAGTGCCCCAGCAGAGTGGCCATGGGCAAAGCCAGAGCGAGTCCTGCCGAGCAGCCGGAGAGCTGGTTCAGCGGCAGCGCGAGCACGTGACTGCACGGAGCCTCTGCAGAAAACGGCCAACAGGTCCCAGCTTGTGCTCCTTTATCAGATCCCTGCCATAGCGAAGGATTTGCCAGACACGCATTAAACATTAATGTTGTTGTGACAAACAAGCCTCACGCAGTGAGGAGGGGAATTAGTTCATGGTAGTCCAGTTGTGAGCTCTAAAGAGTCTAAACTCTAAAACTGACCAAGCAAATGGACCTCTGGAACTGACTGGAGGTGCAAGTTGGTGGGAGGTGGACAGAAATACAGCCCTTGTTGAACAAGGAGCATCAAAAGAACCGGGAAGGCTGCCTCAGCCTGTGCCAAACCACACTCTTCCTATTCCCTCCTATGAGCCCAGTAAAGTTAAAAGAAGTTCCTTCAAGTGGTGCCCATCTCCCTGCATCCTCCCGAGGCGACAGGATGCAAGGAGAGCTCCTCCAGTCCCACCCCTGCCTGTGCAGCAAACACCCTGATCCTGCTTTCACACGTTTCTCCACTATGAGAAACGCACCAGGCCGTATTCCTATGGGTAAGCGATGGGCCCAGGTCCCCGTGCAATCTCCAGAGACTAAACTTCTCATGCTGCTCTAGGAAATACAGACCAGTGGCAAATATTCAGAGCGCAGGGGCAAAAAGATGTAAAAAGAATCAGATGGATGTTTTCTAGGCTCCTACCTTGTGTGAAGAAGTAAACTCTGGTGCCATCACCTCTCACATAGAAGTTATCAGACAGACATTGACCTTAGGGCAAGAGGGATTTAAACAGTTACCAGCTATCATTTAAAAATCAACAACTGCTATCCAACTGCACATAAAGACAAGAGGCACTTCTCCCTGTGCCTGCTGTGCTTAAGGGGATTTAAGGAGCTGCCTCCTAAAGAGGGCAGAGACTATTCCAGAGAAGCATCATCTATTACTGATCTGGCAAGACTCCCCAGGGGAAGAGAAAATACCTTTCTTAAACCGAAGCTGGGCCAGGTCGTAACGGCCATAATCTCGTAATAAAATCATTCCTCCCGGCTTCAGGAGGCGACTCAGTCTCTTAACAACACACTGCATCCTGAGGAAAGAGCAAACAGCAGCGGTCAGCACCCTGCAAATCATGCTTGTTTCTACTGCATATTAAAACGAATTAAGCTCTCCAAAAAGATATACAAAGTTTTATATGTGTTTAAATCTCTGATGGAAAGCTACTGAAAGCTAGTATTTTTCTGAGGTCCCTCAGACTAATGTAGATTGATTTGCCCTGCTTATTTCTGACACTCTCCTGTTCTGCTTTTTTCCTACAAGCACAACTTAGCCTTTTGCAGCAGGGTTTAATTGCTCTCTCACTTATTACAAAAATAACTCCACTGTTTTTTATAAAATAAGCAAAAAAAAAAAAAGAGGAACATAAAAATGCTGCAGAATAAAAACAAGAGAACAGACTATGCCTTTTATTTGCAGATTTTTAGATCTAAGGCACAGGTTGACAAAACTTTCATAAATAAAAAGCCTTATCCAAACTGAATGAAATGGAAGAATGTGCACAGCATGGCAAGTGCTTCCTAGCGTTCACTAGCAAAACTAACCAGGTTTTCATATTGGCTATATTGCTTTAAAATTTCCTTATTCAGAAACTCCAGTTCCATGTGCAGTGTCTTCTGCTATCACAGGGAATTATTAGAACTTACTTCTCTGGGAGAATTGCTGAGAGGACAAAAATAAGAATAACAATGTCGAGACTCTCTTCTGGCATTGGGAAGGGACTTTGGTCATTGCAGAGGTCATGGACAAACGCGAAGCAGCGCGAGGAATCGTATTCTGCGTTGGTCTGTAATTAACAGGAGAGATTTGAGGAGACATGAGCAGATTGTGATGTCAGTATTACCTGGGCATAAGAGTATTTTAACTTTCATTAATAAAATGGAGTGTCTGAAGACCTGTTTCAGCCTCACTGGACTAACTGTACAGTTACAGTTACTGTACTAAATGTACAGTGCTACTCTAAAGAGGACTGAACTTTTTATGTTCAGTCGAACAGCAGTGCCAAAAAAGTACAACTGAATTGAGGGATTATTGCAATTGTGTCGTTGGATTTCCCACTAACAGCTGTTATAAGCAAGGGATTTACACTGTTAAGATGGAAAATTTTACAAAAGTGAGTGTGTCAGGGCCCCTCTCTATACCCCTGAAGTCAATAATTCATTTGATTTATAAATTTATGAAATATATTTATTAATTTATGAGCAGAGTACATGTTACACCCCAAAGATCAAAGCTGGCAGCTCTTAAAATCACATTTAGACTCCAAGAAGGGGTCTTTTGCTTATGATAGCTTAGAGGGTGACCCGGCACGCTGGATCTGCTGCTGCGTGCCACGGCTCACTCATGGAGTGACTGATGACACTGGATACTCCACATATTCAGTTCTGTTCTGACCCAAAATTTGTTAGCAAGGTTTGTTGTTTATTAAAGCCCAGCCTCCTCCTCTGCAGAGTGTCACCCCTCCTCAGCTGCCCGTGCAGAAGCAAGCAGGCCACGTTCCTCGAACCGCAGCAGGGCGCACACAAATCAAAAACAACTTCAGTTGCTGTTAAAAAATAGCCTGAATGTTTGGGAAAGGAAATCTGCCTGACGTGTCTGCTGCCAATACGACGTTTTGTGAACTCCCCCTTCCCTCGTTTCTGCAGTCCTTGATGGCTCATTTTGCTGATTTACCAGCACCATGGGTCAGCACCAGGGCTAGCTAAAAACAATAAACTGCCAACAGAGCTAGACTGGTGGCAGCAATGGAATATTTGTGCTAATGTGCAATGGGCACCAAGTACTTACTACCTTCAGAAGTCACCGTTGAGTTTACCTGGACAAGATCCACTGCTACTGTAGAAAAATCACAGCAGTAAACAAAAAGCCCTGGGTCACTAAAATAAATAAAAGAAGCTATCAACATTTGTATAAAGGTGCTCCAGAAAATTAGAGAAGTGTCCTGAATGCACAGAACTGAGAGGCAGAACTCCCCTCAATTTAAACTTTTAAATTTGTTTTAAACTTTCTCTGCCAATGATTTGTTGTGTAATATCTTGAAGATCACTTTGCTCCTTTCTTCACAATCCTACCAGAAGGTAGAGACTGGAATCCTGTATTAAAATACTTTGAGAATGAGACATGCAAACCAGCATCATGATTTACTGCTTGCATTCTAAGACCAAAGATTTCCAAGCTCAAAACATTGTCATCTGAAGTCACAGATCACAAATGTGCATCTACCCTCTTCTCTATGAAACTATCTATACTAAAAACACATGCAACACATTTCCAATTGTTTTTTCAGAGATTGGTATATCATGCAAGGAAAATCCTATGGAGAAACACTTACTTGTTGGTTTGCAAAATGGGGAAAACTGTATTTCCAGCACCACAGCCCACCTACACAGAGTCATAGATACATAGTTAAAATCACTTCTTCAGCATGTTCCATGCAGCTGATTTCAAGTCATCTCTCTACAGCCAAGCAGCAAAGAGCAATTCACCAGTAACAACTGAATATAGCAACGAGCATTTGCAAATCTCACTGCAGGATCTGACTGCCATCAGCTCTGGGGAGCAGACGTACGTATCGTCATTTGTGGGAAACCACTAAGTTCCCCCACTTCTAGCAGGGGTCTAACCAACAAGCTATATAGTGTTACCCTTCTTGAAAACGGTTTTTGCTGGAATCCCAAGCACAACAATCCGTGTGAGTCACTGAAGCAGGGGCAAAGGCCACGGGTTAGCTGCCTTCACTTTCATACAAAGACAAAGCAAGGGACAAGTTTGTTTTATTATTCCCTGTTCTTTCAGAGTTTCCTTCACTAGAAGGCTCTTCCTCAGGTTGCAGCTAGGCCTGCAATGATTCTGCCTTATTATTCTACTTGTTCCCATGTGAAGAGAAAATGGCCCACATAACTGGGTTTGGGGAATTTCTTTCTGAACGTTTGAGGAATCAGTGAAATTGAAATGGACTGAGTAGAAAACTCCAGTGATAAACTTCAGCGACAGAAAGCACTGAAAATCTTCACGTGAGACACAGAAGCCATGATAACTCAAGAACGTGAAAATCTGAGGAAGTTTCAAGGACTCATATCAAGCATAAATCTAAAAACACTGTACGCTCCCTCTCCTTGGGAGGGCAGAGCTCCCACAGAACACAAAGCACTTGACAGAGCAGGGGCAACAACACTGAAGAGACTTCAGAGATGTGGCAGAGCAAAAGGCCATTAGCAGCCATGAGAAGCCTAATATTTAGAAATCCTCACAAGTTTTTCTGGGATAACCATGATATACCACAAATGGCAAATGAGTCAGGGCTATCTTCAAATTGTAAGGGACAAGGAAAATCCTCCGTTTAGAGACCTTACCTCTAATATCCGGTAAGTTGCAGAAGATCCTGGGTAATGTCCATCCCCTGGATTCGGCTCCCTGTGTTTCTGGGTAGCTGGCTGCTGTGTGCAGAACTCGGGCGTGCTCCTGGTTACGTTTAACTGATTCTCTGCCCTGGTTTCCAGTGAGCAATGTCCATTTTCACAGCTTCCCAGCCCTTCACTGTTGGATTCCTCTTTGTACCCACATTTGTACCCAGAAACTTCATTTTGGGTTGGATTTCTATTTGAGGCCAGCTCAGGAAATTCAGTGAACAGCCAGTGTCTGTCCTTGAAGAAGCCATTTTCATGGATTTTATAAAAGTCATCCCAGTACCTGTTAGCGTTCACCTCATACTCCTCTGTAAATACAACCAAAAATGTCACCAGTCAGATCGGAAGGTCCCAGGGTTTAATCTGTTCAGACAGCCAGGGATCAGCACAGACATCCATTCTGCAATCTGCTTTAATAGGCAAGGTTATTGATTGAGAATCACCTTGATTTAAATGGGGACATCCCACATGAACACACAGGCTGCCTCCTCACAGCCCCTTCACTGCGAATAGAAAAGATAGATGAAGAAACTGTCTTCTAAGTGGGATTTAAAGGAACTTGGCAAAAGAAACGGCCTCTTTGATGAAGACCAGAACAAGGAAATCCAAGTTTTTCCTCCATCTCTAATGCTAACTCATTCAATTCACCGGAGCAATTCGTTTGAAACCTTGTGACTCTAACTGTCAAGCACTTACAGCTTCTAAGGAATTCTGTGACAGTTGCCTGGAGCTGAAGAGCTCCTGTCTGACAGACTAATCAGTATTTCAAATACAGAAACAGAAAAATTAGTCGAGTACACATGCATGGCCTAAAGCTCAATTAGTGTGTGCACAATACTCGAAGGATAGCACATATTATAGAAGTACTGCTGCAATTCAGTCTACAACATTTTGTTTTCCACAGTTCTGTGCAGGTTAAAATAGCAGGCAGTTATGAAATGACAACCAAAGAGAGGGATCAGAAATAGTGGCCACTCTCTTCAGCCTTAAAGTACCAGTGCAGAGCTAAGGTGAATAAATTCATGTTGATAAGATTTAATGTCATAAGCAAGCATTACTGTTTTCACATCAAGTGGATACATTCCAGTGGCAGGCTGTAATAACTCTTATGAAGCCATAATCTAAAGAAATTCGAATCATCTGCAAAACCCCTTCCACATAACTTCATAGATTTCAAATCAAGTTCAGCTCTACAGAAGCTATTTTTCCACCATTAAGAATCCAATTGTTCTTCCACATTTTCATTGATGGCATAAGCTTTCTGGCCTGGGAAATGAGAGCTAATTACAGCATCGTATGCTTGTAATCAACTAGAGGTGTTAACACTGAGGCCAGGGATCTCAGTTGCATTTCAAAAACATGCAACTCCTTAGTCATCTTTGCAGCACCAAGTTCATTACGGAATGCAAATGATTCTCCTACAATTAAGGGGGCTGCCTATACGTGAGAATGGACAGCCTCTCCCCAGCCTCTACTAAAAGCAGGGTTAAGAAAAAAAAAGTACATATCTTCAAACTGTACCTAAACTACAGATTATTTGCTAGTCTTTCTGAGAAGAACCTGTCTTTAGAGGATATGAGAGGGAAGAGAGTAGAAAGGAGCCAAGAACGCTTGGAAAAAACATATAGCTTCAGCCAAATATAGAAAAATAAATTGCTTAACAAAAAGTCAGAAGTCACTCCTAAGTATATTTTTAGTAGGACCTATCTCTGAAGCGCAAAGATCTATATTTAAAAATAAATCTCTTTATCTCAATTACACGGATTTACTCCTTTTAAGAAGCCTTGTCCTTAAACATTAAGCCTAAAGAAATTTTAATGTCTGATACTGAACTACAGCAGAAACATTTGTGCCATGATCTTATCATACTTCAAAATAAGTAGGGTCAAGTCAGTTTAATATTTGCATAAGAGATACTCAAGGAGTACTAATGTCAGAGGAAGAAGAGCTACTTATCCACTCCCTGGTGCTGAATCCAGTCCTGAAATGTCACTTCTTCCCTGCACTAGTAGGGATAAACGCAGCTGCTGGGGCTGGAAAGGCTCTTTCAGCTCAGAAACATATAAAATCCTGATTCACGCTGGTCCTGTGACAGTCTCTGATACAGGATAGTTACCACAGGCAATTTTCCAACACAGACATTTTGGAATACTTGAGTTTTGCCACAGTACAACCCTGAACAAGACGTTGTGCTCTTCTGTTGCTAAATTACTGTGATATTCTGTTGGATGCTCCTGGACAGCTGCTATGCTCCCAGATGTGTGGAAGCTTTATTTAAAGCTCATTTACCTCACAGCCTAGTGCTTTCAAAGCACTGAAATAAATAATCAGCAACAACACCCATGCAAGAAAGCGAGGGCCAGCTGATATAGATCATGCAAGAAACACATTTAAAATTCAAATGACCATAAGAATCTTTTAGTCTGATTTCCTGCATAATTTAATCCAGAAAAGCTCACATATTTGCTTTAAGATTCTTTTTGTGGCATTAACTCATGGGGACGCCAGCATGGCAGCTAGCTTCCTCCAGAGACTTTCTTGACAAGGAGTCGTGAGCTCTCTGCTTGTCTGTGCAAGGACACCCCCGCAGTCAAACTCACCCTCTCACACTGCAAGAGTGCTGCAAACAAAAACAAATGTCCACAACAGACGGGAAGAGAACCAGAGGCTCCCTGAATGACATGGAGGCAAATTACGGAGCCTCAAAAGAAAATGAAAAAACCCTTCCACTCCTTTCTCTGTTCCCCGCCGGCAGATACAACTTCTACACAGCACATGGAACTTCTCCCCTTCCTCAGAATACATTCTGACAGCCCAAACAGACCACAGAATAATACAGCCATAATGACCAATAGACTGACTTTGTTCTCCTGCTTGGACGTTTTTGACTCTCGAAATACTAAAGCCTCCAGGCACATTTGGCTGGGCTGGTTTCCCTACGTTTCAGCCACCCCATTGTCTCCACATGTTTCCCATTGAATAGGAGCCATCAAAATTCGCCTGGCCTCCATTGTTCAGGCTGGGAAATACATCATGAAGACCTGACACACTGTTCTAGCAGCAAATTTCTCCACAATTTCATAGTTGTATATAGGTTCTCAAAGCGTGACAGACAACATCCTTTAATGTTAACCAGATTTTAAAATGAACTCAGCACAATGGGCATCACAATGAAAACTGCTGGATGCTTCTGGGAATCCAAGAAATTAGGAGGGTTGCTCTTTGGTATAATTAAATTTGCTATTGTGAACACAACTGGAAGCTATATGGGATGTGTCTGAATAACTCCAGTAGTGTTGAGCATTGCCTTACAGATGACACACTCAATTTAATCCGAACAAAAGCAGCGGATCCATCCTTGAGCTTGACAGGACATAACAAGCTCACCATCAAACAACTCCTTTATCGTTCCAAGGGACAGGAAGGCATTTCACCACCTTTGCAGATCCTGGATGCCATCAAACAGGTGTGCAGGAGTTGGAGAGACTGGATGCCATCAAACAGGTGTGCAGGAAAGGGGCAACATGGACTGTAGAGCAACTTCTACCATATTTTTTTTGGCTATAGAGCTGTGTACGAGGCAACATGAACCGACTGCAAGAGCAACTTCTACCGTATTTTTTTTGGCTATAGAGCTGTGTACCTCTAGCTTGATTCAGATAAGCTTTGCATTGGATATATGAATATTCCTTAGACCAATTTGAGGAAAGTATTAGAACAGTTTCTAACAGTACCTTGTTTATCTTGTGGCAATAGCTGTGAGCTGTTCTCTTGAACTTTACTTCTGGCATTGGCTTCCTGCTCTTCTGACCACTCCACATTATCCCTGTTATAAAAAATAAGGCGAACTGCTCAGCAAGGAACGGCAGGGCTTAGAGAGAGAGAGAAGAAATAGAAAGGTCTAGACACAGCTCATGGAATTGACGTTGTGGAGCTTTTGCACAACCTCTCTAATTTTAGCTCGGTGCCAATATAACGGCAGTCACTGTGTAAGGATGGTTCCTGGTTCTGAAAGAAGCATAAGCTGGAGAGCATCCTAAGAGGCATCTCCGTCCCGTCTCCTACATGATGCTCAGCTACTTCTAGAGGAATCGTGTCATTGCTACAAAACTGCGAGGATGCTCAGCATCAACACGCCTCCTTGGTGCTGAGCGTCACTTCTCTCGCAGGGAAAAGCTCCTACAAGGGAGACCAGCAGCCAGGAGCTCACGTGCTTCTGCTCCAGCAGGTCCTCAGAACGCACGGGCTGATTCACCCGCTCCAGAAAATTCCATTTTCTCCCTCGAGTTTGAAGAAAAGAGAGCAGCAAAGGTTATTTGGAAGTCTTACACTAATATTAAATCCAATTACGAGAAAAATATGCAGAAAGCTTTAAAGCATTAAGAACCTGTTAGTGACATAAATACGCACACAAAACTGTGTAGCCATTCAAGTGACTCGACCTTTTTTTATTAAAACAAGTGAATGAAAAAACAGAATGCAAGGATCAAGCAGCACTATTCTGGCCCCAGGATGAATGAGTCTCTTGATATTACCTCACAATAGCACAGACTTAAGCATTAACACCGTGAAAAATGAGATTCCTAGGAGTCTAGGAGTGCGCCGTTCCGAAAGGGAAATCCCGCTGAAGACAGGCGTTCACAACACCCTGTGACACAGCACCGGCCCCGAGCGAACGACAAGCGGATACACACACACACACATCGCTTTATTACACATTAAACACCAAATCAAACACTGATGGCTCCCAACAGGTAAAGGGGCGCCTGGGCACATTCACACCAAAACAAAACAAAGAACACCACCAAAAAAAGCTTTGCATCCCAGAAAATTCCACTCAACACCCGAGCCCTGAGAGTTTCTTTAACTGCATAACGAACGAACAGACGAAGCTTCCTCCGAACACAGGCAGCCTCCGCCGAGCCGGCGGCGCCGCGCACGGCGAGCGGGGCCACGCGGCAGGGGACGTGTCCCTGCTTCGGATCACACCGACCCGGCTGCTGCTGTGCTTGGAGAGGAGGAAGAGGAGGAGGAGGAGGCGGAAGAGAGGGAGAAGAGAGTGGAGGAGGAAGGAGGAGGAAGGAGGAAGAGGAGGAGGAAGGAGGAGGAGGAAGGAGGAGGAGGAAGGAGGAGGAGGAGGAGGAGGAAGAGGAGGAGGAAGG